GGAAAACACCGCAAGAGGAAACATTAGAGATGTCCTCTTTTATTTTAAATGTATGTTATTTTTAAAATCTTAATTGACATATAATTATACATGTAATGGGAGACAGTGTTATACCTCAATACAAGCATGCAATTGTCATGATCAAATAAGAGTAATTAGCATGTTCATCTCCTACAGATTCATTATTTCTATATACTGGGGATGCTCCAGTTCTTCCTTTATAATTTTTTATAAAAGGCACACCAAAGTGTTATTAAGTACAGTTTCATTATAGAACACTAGAACTTACTCCCTCCATGTAACCAATTTTGGTAACTGCTATTCCTTGCTCTGTATTGTCTTCTAATCCTCATTGCTAACCTATAAGTATCACCTTTCTACTCACTTCTTTCACGAGATCAACATTTTCAGTTTCCACATGTGTGTGAGGACATTTGGTATTTGTCTGTCTGTACCTGGCTCATTTTGGCTGAACATAGTGTGGACAGGCTCTCTGACAGGTAATCTTGTTTGTGTCAACTTGACCGCCATCCTTAGGATTAGTGGAGTGCACTTCTGGGCATGTGTGGTGGGGGATCATGGAGGCATACGTTGGGGGTCTATACCTGGTCATTCATCTTCTGCCATGGTGTTCCTTTCATGAAGCTTGCTCATCATGTACTGAATACCTTGAAAGCGTGAATGAAGTCAAATCTTTTCTCCTTTAAGTTGTGGGTATTGGGTATTGTGTCCCAGCAATGAGAAAGCAACTAATTAGTACCAGAAAAAATGGGGTCATTGCTGTGACCATGTGGTTTTGAAGCTTTTGACAATGGTTTGTGGAAGAAGTTTGAAAGTATTGGAGATGAGGGGTAGAGAAGCCCTAGAATTCTGTCAGCAGAGCCTAAAGATTGATTCTGGTCAGACTTCTGAAGACCAACATGATGACAGAAAAATCAAGCAATAAAGGAAAGGCTCAGAACATTTCAGTTGGAAACAAGGGATCCATGGGCAATTGGACTAGAGGCCCTGCATGTTACACTCCGGAAGAAAATTTTGTACACAGTTTTCCATTTTCTGAGACTTTGTGAGATACTAAGGACATGGAATAATTGATCCAGTGAAAGGAATTTCAAAGAAATTTCTAGATAGCCCAACTTTGAGGCTGTGGCATGGGCACTACTGGCGTGCAGCTGGGTCTGTGGTAACAACTGGGGACAAAAAGCACAGGACAAAAAATTTAAAAACCTAAATCACCCCCCCCCCCCGCCGCCCCAAGAACCACTTGTAAAGCTGGAGCCAAAGGAAGTATGACCACTGAAGAGATTAGTACCATTAAACAGAAACCAAGTACTTTGCATAGGGATAAGAAGATGCTTTGAAGGCATCTCAGAAATCAGCAAGACCTTGTCCATCACAGGCTCAGGGCACAAAACAGTAACCTATAGGGAGGCCTTCCAGGTCCTCATCTCGGTCCAAGAAGTTTGTATTTGTAATCCCACGGAAAAGTTATTGGAATTCTAGTGAGTTAATTCCAATCTACCACTTTCAGCGCAACCCACAGTGAGAATAAAGACACTAAGGTGCATTTGTAGTTGCAGGGAACCAAAGGGGCCTTAATCTAGCTAAGATGATGGCCATCCGGAACAAAGGCCCCCTGGGTTTTATTCATTCATGAAGGAGGGAGTGGCTTGAGAATGAGTGACTGCGAGAATGGTGGGAAGTACATGAGTGCCGTGTGCTGGGCTAGGTAGGAGGCCTGAAATCACCTCTGCAATATGCAGAGAGAAGGACGTGCAGAAAGAGTAACCTGCGTAGCACAACTGAGGTAATAGCTAGTGTTTTGGGGTTGGTGCTTCAGCTTTGATGTGCAATCTTTTATGCCCTGGGAAGTCGTAGCCTCTGACTCCAGGTTCCATCCCAGCTGACAGCACAAGTGTGGCTCTCCCTCCCACCTGGCTCACACATGCTTTGGGGAGCGACAGGGGGCTTCAGAGACTACATATCAGCACCTCTGGCTAGGCTGATCTGCATTGCTCAAACCAATTGAAGGGATAAGGAAAAGTCCTAGCAGCTCTGTACATATCAATATATGGAAACAGAGCCAGGCTCAGCCAAAATGGAGGTGAACACATTTAAGCCACCATTTTTGCAACTTTTTGATGCAGTTCTGGATGTCTTATTTTATTACTCTTTATGAGGTCTAATAAAAATATAGTAAGTTTGGCAGCTGTACGTCATCTGATGGGAAGGCTAGCTCATAAATCCTTACCCACTCACTGACGAGATCAGCAAGCTCTGACTTCTAGCCATACCCAAAGTCAAAACCACTATGAGAAGTAAAATTCTGGATTGATTCAAGACATTGAGTAAGGCATGACCATGCGACTAAATTACTGTATTGTTTTAAAATTTAAACATTCACCATGCTTTTTATCACACCTTATAATATAACCCATTAATAAAAATAACTCATTTTTGTTAAAAATAACTCATATGATTGTAAATTATGAGAACAAAGAAGAATGAGAAAAAAATTTAAAGCCATTATAAAATATTGTTCCTACTTTGAGGAATGTAGCTGATGGGTTGAAGGGCAAATTTTATTTGAGGACAAAACAATGGAGAATTTTACAGCAAAACATATCTAATAAAGCACTAAAGGCAAAATTTTTCAATATGTAAAAAGTGGAGAGAATAGTATTATGAACCCTAAATATTCCATACACAGCTTTGTTAGCAATCAGCAGATGGTAAACTTTGTAAAAGTGAAGTTATCCAGACACAAGAAAAGAAGTACACTCATATGGGGAAAAGTTCATAAAGGTGAAAGGTATAACTGGGTTACCAGGGGCTGGGAGAGGGCTTGATGGCATATTGTTTGATAAGTACAGAATTTTAGTGTTGCATAATTAGAGTTCTGAAGATGGGTACAAAACACTGTGAATATAATTAATTATAGTGCTCAGTACCCTAAAATGCTGCTGGGCATGGTGGCACATGCCTGTAATCCCAGCACTTGGGAGGCTGAGCAGGAGATTGCTGCAAGCTCGAGGCCAGCTTGGGCTACATCGTGAGTTCAGGGCCAGCCTGAACTAGGAAGGCAGAACCTGTCTCAAAAAGAAACAAAGAAACAAACAAATGAAAAATAAAATGGTTATGAAGGTTTTATTTATAAGATATTATGTTATAAATTTATAAGATTTTATGATTTATTTATAAGATTTATAATAAATCTGGTATGGCTAGAAGTCAGAGCTTGCTGATCTCATTTATTTATATGATTTATTTTAAGATTTATTTATAAGATTTTATGTTACAAATTTTTATCACAAACAAAAATAAAACAAGCTTTAAGTGATAGTATAGACTTAGCATAAAATCATCATATTTTAAGAAGTTACCACTCTACTTAACTTCATTAACCTATCTAGAACTATGCTGGATATACTTAGGTGTCAGTGAGTAGGTAATAATAAGCTCAAGCTCAAGTACATCGCGATCCAGTGGAGCTTCCTGAGTTCCTGGCAGGTGATGGTAATGTGCAGAACATTGTATATGGTGAACAAAGCAAAAGATACTTCTTCTAACACTGAACAGTGGTACTCTCCAGAAATGAAACAGAGACAATGTAAAATGGTCGTTAATATTAAGGTCAACAGTTTTTTTGGTGTGTTTTTACACTATAGCATAGAAGAATTACTGCTGGATTCAATGTGAGGCTAGTTTTGCTGATAATTCAAGTCAGGATTAATGCTCTTAAGGAAGAACACCTGCTGATTCCTGTCTGTACCATTAAATTCAACAGAATTGAGATAATTCCACTTTTGTGTAAGAAAAATAATTTGATTCTTTTATTCAGTTTGGGGTTACTATGGCTGACATAAAGACATAATATCATTTTCCAAATCCATGTGATGACCATTATTACATGTAATAGAAAGAGGAGAGAGGCTGTTTGTCGCTTCCCTGGCGTCTGGGCTGGGAGAGCACAAAGATTAGGGCTGAGAACGAAGGTGCGGCACAGGTCCCTAACAACCCCTGTGCAGAAGAGCAGAGGCTGTATTGGCCAAGGAGGGGACAGCTCTAGTAAAGGGATGCACATTAGGGAAACCAGGGCTGGAGGCCTGGTGTGGATGGGCATGAGGACAGGGTGTGGAGCAAGGAGCTCCATTCTGAGCTGCAAGTCCAGGACCTCAGCCAGTGCAAAGGGTCTGCAGTCTGTACCGGCGCTGAGAGTGCACCCTTTCTTCTCCGCTCTTCTCTGTGCTGCGGCCACCAGACCTTCACCCCCACGCTGGAGCATCGTGGTGCGGAGCAGCCAGGCCAGGTTTCCAAGGTGCACTGTGAGTGTTAGGAAGGTGTGTGGCTGTACCTGGGCTCCTAGCTGGAGCATCAGGGGTTGTCTGGGGACCAGTGCAACACGTGCATCACAAAAGCCAGCAAGTAGACTGCTGAGCCTTGCAGGAGGAGTCCAGCATCGCCAACGGGGGATGGGGGGGCAGGAGACCCAGCCAGGCTGCTGGACTAGGAGGATACACAGTCCTCAGAGCATGGTTTCCTCAGGCATGGTGACCCCAGGCCAGCCTACAGCCTCTGAGGGTCCCATTGTAAGATGCTCAGGGAGGATTTCCTGGCCACATAGATGCAAGATTCAGTGATGAAGGAAGTGAAGAGGATCATCCAGATTATCAAATCCTAATGTTGACGCTGGTTCCCATACCTGGCTTCAAGCACTCTCTGCTTAACCCTCTGCCGCTGTGTTACCAAGCTATGCAGGATTTGGGTTTGCTCTGTCTCTGTACCACCATTTATCTAGTGGCAAAGAGCATGCTGTATGCATACTTAGTAAAACCTGGTTTATGATATGCATTCAAGGATTGAAAGGTGGATAGAAGGACAGATGAAAGAATAAAAGAAACAGGAGCAAAATTGACTCAAAACACACAAACTGCCTTTGTGTTAAGCAGTATGCTTTTCCCCACGCCCTTAGGATGCTGTCTTTCACCAGACACTGACCCTCACGGGACCTTCTGTCTCTGTCCCAGCCTCCGCAGGGCATCCTTCACGTCCTTGTTCCTCAGACTGTAGATGAGGGGGTTGAGCATCGGGATGACCTGGGTGTAGAAGATGGAGACCACCTTGCCCTGCTCCATGGACTCCACAGCTCCTGGCTGTCCATATACAACAAAACCTGCTCCATAAAACAAGCACACTGCCATCAGGTGGGAGCCACAGGTGGAGAAGACCTTGTGTCTCCCGGACCCAGAGCGCATCCTAAGGATGGTCACTGTGATGTAGCCATAGGAAGTCAAGATCCCGATTGTTGCACCCAGAAGAACGAAGCCGCAGATGCTGAACGTGACCAGCTCATTGAGAGCCGTGTCAGCGCAGGCGAGCCTGAGAAGTGGGAGCACATCACAGAAGAAGTGATCGATGCGGTTGGAGCCGCAGAAGGGAAGCTTAAAAGTGAGGCTGGTCTCCACGAGGGAGTTGAGGCAGCCTCCGCAGTAGGAGCCCAGCACCAGGAGAGTACAGACCGTGTGGCACATGGTCACGGGGTAATGCAGGGGGCTGCAGATGGCCACGAAGCGGTCATAGGCCATCACAGCCAGAAGCAGAGCCTCTGTGGTACCGAGGAGGGAGAAGAAAAACAACTGTGTTGCACAGGCTCCAAAGCTGATGACTTTAGAGGAAGAGAAGAAGTCAGCCAGGGCTCTGGGGGCGAAAACCGACGAGTAGCAGAGGTCCAGGAAGGACAGGTTCTTGAGGAAGAAGTACATGGGGGAGTGCAGGCGGGCCTCCAGGGTGATGACTATGATCATGGTGAGGTTGCCCAGGACACTCGCCACATACAGGGCCAGGAACACGGCAAAGAGCAGGGCCTGTGTCTCCACACCTCCCCGGAATCCTTCCAGCACAAACTCCCGTAAGGGCACGGTGGAGAAGTTCCCAGGTCTGTGGGTCATCATAGCCTGAGCTGGGACAGTGGGGCAAAGAGGACAGTAGAGGCTGTGAGCGAGGGCTGGTCACAGCCGCACAGTCGTGCCTTACAGAGCGTGGACTCATGCACGCACGCTGCTCACTGACGGAAGGGCCGCCCCCTGCCTGGTTCTCCTTCCCACTGAGCTCTCCCTCACTTGAGTGGGGCAGTGTCTATGGTTTACTTAATTCATGATTGTGTGCTGATCCCTCCTAGTGTATGAACTGAGCATGCTCTGGGGATGAAATAAATGTGCAGAGCCGAGAGACCCTCCATGCAGGAAAGCACTGGGGCATTCTTGTGTTCACTCCTTAGCAGCTTCCCTGCTCCTCCGTCTCCTCAGCAGCACCACTGCGCACTGCCCCATCCCACACTGCCCAGGTCTCAGCTCCTCACTCCGGGTGAGAGGACGTCTGCCACCAGGCCTGTGCTGGGTGCTGTCCCCCTGCAGGCTGGGTGTAGAACAGTGGGCAGAGGCCTCCTGGGCAGAGGCCTCTGTCTGCCTCCTCTGAGGACTCTCAGCCACACAGTGGAAAATCTGGGTCTGACACTTGGCCACTGTGGTGTGCAGCTAGCTATCGGGGGCTTCCTGCCAGCATCCAGATGCTGGCCATCTCGTGGACAGAGAACATCCGAACCGCCTGGTTGGAGGGCAGTAGACAGTGTTCCAACAAGCTGGGGAAATGCACACACCCTGTCTGACCTCACTGCCATCTCTGTCCCTAGACTGCCATCTGGTCTGGGGACTTGGACAGAAATTCTCTTTAATTTTGAAATAAGTCTGGGATATTCTTGAGGCTTTTCTGTTCTCTGTCCTTGTCATGGCACAGCCAGAGCAGTGGTCACTGCATGGGTTCCACAAGCAGCTCTGCTGGTCACCCACAGGTGTCACGAGGTTGCTGTGCTGAAGACCCTGGCCAGGAAGGGAGGAGAGTCAGCTGCATCTCCTCACCTGTCCAAGGCCCATTCCCTACCTGTTCAGAGCCCACATTTGCCTGCCCAGGGCCCAGCCACACACAGTACCCACAGAGGCCCCTCTGTCCTTTGCATTCACTGAGTGGCTGACTTTCCCACTGTGAGCATGGTGACTCTCAGTGAAGTGTTTCTGTGGGCATTGGGTTGACAGTTTCTCCTCACACACACACACACACACACACACACGCTGGTGGTGTTGGTACAAACTACGCAAGCCACCTCTGTGGTGAATTGAAAATACGTGAAATGTTGTCCCCAGACCAGTTCCCTGACTGACACTGGGGGAGTGACAGGCAAGGACATCCCAGCTTGGAGCAGATGCCGTGACATCCACAGGCACCAGCAGATTGAGAAGCTGCCCATGGCCTGAGGAGGATGCCCTGCTGCCCCAGAGTGGGTGGCCTCAGGGTGATGGGCTCCTGTCCTTGCTTTGGCTTTGCCCCTCGTGTGAACCATCTGGTCCTGAGCCAGCAGCGTCACCCGGGTCTGCAAACTGGTTAGAATTCAGAGCTGCTGCCCAATTGCAGGCAGAACTGGAATCTGAAATAGCAGGGTGCACCGAGTGTCTATCCGAGTTAGGGATTTCTGTCAGGGAGTGGCTCACAGGCACCACTTCTGATGAGCAGGAGCTGAGGCCAGGCCCACCCCAGAGGAGGGTGCTTACTGCTGTGCCTGCCAGGAACAGTCCTCAGTGCTCACCGTGTACACAGCACTGCTGTCTCCTACACCCATGACCTACTCCCAGTGCATCTGACCTGGGATGCATTCACCTTACCTTCTCTGGGTGAAAGGCAGGACTCTCTGAGACCACACAGCTACACCTGGGTGCCCTTTTCTGGACTTACTTGTGCTGCAGCTAAGGAAGTGGACAGTCTAGTTCTAGTTTCTGGAGCAGGAAGGAGTGGGGGCAGAAGTGGGCACCTGTGGTCTATGGAGAAGAACCTGGCTCTCCCTGTCTTGGGTTCTGCTTCTTTGTGGAAGAGGAAGGGGGGGCTCTGCCTCTTGTCCTGTCCCACTGGGCTGGTAGTGTATCAAGGGACCTGCCCTTGAGGTCACATTGCTGGGAGGGTTCTCTGCACCATGTAGCACTGGGACTTGGGGTCTCCAGTGACCAATTAGGGAGGCTCTGGACCTCAGAAGTGCTCTGGTACTCCAGTTACCCAGGCTGTAGGAGCTGCAGTGCCGTGGCCAGTATTCATGTTTTCATCTTCCCCTCCCATGGCGTGGCAGGAGGCCTGAGTTTCTCAGGGATCCCAGGGGAGACCATGAACACAGCACACACAGCTTGGAAAGACCTTGTGTCCAATGTCCCTAATTAGACTGGTCTCCCTGGGGCAGGATGCAAGTGGAACATTCTGGCCCCTAGCCATCTCCTCTTGTACTCCATTCTGCCATGTAGCTGTGAGGAAGAAGGTGTGGGCAACAGCAAATCCCACTGTACCCAGAATCAATACATGGAAAGAATCCTACTTAGACATGGTGTGTAATCTTTTTGATGATTTGTTGCATTCTGTTTGCCAGTATCTTGAGGATTTTTGCATCTATATTAATTAGGGAGATTGGCCTGTAGCTCTTTTTTGGTTGGATCCTTCTCTGGTTTTGGTATCAGGGTAATACTTGCTTCCAGGAATAAGTTTGGGAGTATTTCTTCCCTCTCTATTTCACTGAAGAGTTTGAGGAGTAATGGCATTAGATCCTCTCTAAATTTCTTGTAGAACTCAGCTGTGTATCCATCAGGACCTAGGCTTTTCTTTGTTTGTTGGTTTTTAATTAAATTTTCAATTTCATTGACTGATATTAGGTTATTAAGAATTTTATATCTTCTTGATTCAACTTTGGTAGTTCACATGCATCTAGGAATCTGTGCATTTCATTTATGTTTTCTGTTTTTTAGAATAAAGTTTCTCTAAATATGTATTGATGATCTTCTGGATTTCTGCAGGATCTGTTATGATTTCACCCTTTTCATTTCTTATTGCATGAATTTGATTGTTTTTCTTTCCTTTTGTTGATAAGGTTGGTGTGGTGGATTGACAACTGGTGGTCAACTTGTAATTCCAAGCTGAACTAAGTCAGTTGGGTGCTGGGTGTAGGAGGACCACTGGGGGATTGTTGCCAGCAGCACAACAGGCAGAACTGGAGAAGAAGTTTAGAGGCTGTTAGGAAGGCTGGTAGAAGCTGTTGGGTGCTGTTAGAAGCTGTGAGGAGTGGTTTGTTCTCTTGGAGGACCTTGTCGTGCTGGCTTTCCTGATGAACTAGGCTGTTCTCACTGTCCAAGGAGCTCAGGTCCTTGTTGTTGCTAAGAATGGCTTTGGTTCACTTTGGGGGAGCACTGGTCCTCACTTTGAGCATCATTCCCAGGTTCCAGAGGGGAAGATGATGCACTGCTCAGTCTCCTGGAGAAGCTTGTCACATTGGCTTTCCTGATGGGAACTCAGCTTTCCTCATCATCAGAGGAGCTTGGGACCTCACTGTTGCTGAGGATGGCTGTGGTACTTTTTGGGGGAAGCTCTGATTCTTACTTTGAGTATCAATTCCTAGCTCCAGTGCAGATCCCTCAGCCTGCTAGCACAGATCCTTCATCCCGCTGGCAGAAACTTTCTAGCCTCTACCACTGACTTTTGGGCCTTCCCAGTGCAGATCCATGAAACAGGCCTGCATGAGACATTGTCATGGGCTCTTGGCTTCCAGTTGGATTTGTGGGAGGCATTGTTATGGGCTGTACGTCTTCAGCTGGACTCATGCAGTAGTGACTGTGGGATCCAGGCCCTCAGATGGATTCTTTTGTCTTTACTGTGTGGACAGATTTCCTGCACTTTCTTTTTGTATATGATTCTTAGGGTAACTATTATAAATAATCTTATAAAATACGTGTCCTGTGTTGCATAGTTCCTCTTGCAAAACCCCAAACCACAACAGTTGGCTAAGGGTCTATCAATTTTATTTAATCTTTCCAAAAACCAACTCTTTGATTCATTGATTTTTTTGTATTGTTTTCTTAGTTTCAATTGCTTTAATTTATGCTCTGATCTTTATAATTTCTTCCCTCATATGAGCTTTGGGCTTGGGTTGTTATTTTTCTAGAAGTTTGAGTTTCAACATTAGGTTGTTATTTGTGCTCCTTCTGTTTTCCTGGTGTTAGAGTTCACTGCTATTAATTTTCCTCATATGACCGCTTTCATTGCATCCCACAAGTTCTGGTATGTTGTATTGGCATTATCATTTAATTGTAGAGACTGTTTAATTTCTTTTTTAATTTCCTCTGTGACCCATTTGTTGTTAAATAGGGTATTATTTAATTTCCATGTATTTATGGAGTTTTTGTGATTTCTTTTGCTATTGATTTCTAATTTCATTGCACTATGGTCAGATAATTTCAATTCCTTTGCATTTACTTAAACATTTTCTGTGGGATAGTATGTGGTCTGTTTTGAAGAATGTCTCATGTGCAGCTAAGAAGAATGTGTACTCTGAAATTATGGGGTGGAACACTCTATAGACATCTATTAAATCCATTTGTTCACAGGTTTGGTTCAGTTCTGACATTTCTTTATTGATTTTTTGTCTAGTTGATCTATCTATTTGTGATGATGGGGTGTTAAGATCCCCCATTACAACTGTGTTAGTGCTTATTTGATTTTTCATGTCCATTAATATTTCTTTTATATAGTTTGGTGCTCCCATATTGGATGCATATATATTTATGTTTGTAATCTCTTCTTAGAGTTCTCCCTTAACAAGAATGTAGTGATCTTTTTTTATCTTTCTTATCTGTCTTGGCTTGAAGTTCACATTGTCTGCAAAT